GACCTCACATTGTGTCAATCACGTTTACACACTGCCTCCGAAACTTTCGTCCGTCATAAAAAAATTCGGATCAGGTTCAATTTTCTGTGTTTTCGAGTCTGTAGCAAGCATTTGGATAGGAAAGGATGACGAATACGAAAAAAAAAAAAAAAACGCATATGCAAATTTCGGACTCAGTGTGCAAGGACCTTTAGGCTTCAAAAACAAAACAAATCCCTCAGAGAGACAGCAAGAACATTAGGAGTGGCCAAATCAACAGTTTGGTACATTTTGAGAAAAAAAGAATGCACTGGTGAGCTCAGCAACATAAAAAGGCCTAGACGTCCACGGAGGACAACAGTTGTGGATGATTGGAGGATCCTCTCCATGGTAAAGAAAAACCCTTTCACAACATCCAGCCTACAATCAAGTCTACAATCAAGTACAAATACAAATACAGAGGGTTCATCACAAGGTGAAAACAAGGCCAGATTAGACTTTACCAAAAAACATCTAAAAAAGCCAGACCACTTCTGGAAAAGCATTCTTTGGTCATCTCAAATTAAGATCAACCTGTACCACAATGACGGGAAGAAAAAAGTAGAAGGCTTGGAACAGCTCATGATCCAAAGCTTACAACTTCATCTGTGAAACATGGAGGAGCAGTGTGATGGCATGAGCATGCATGGCTTCCAGTGGGTTACTGGTGTTTATTGATGACGTGACAGAGGACAGAAGCAGCCGGATGAATTCTGAAGTGTATAGAGATATACTCTCTGGCCAGATTCAGTCAAATGGAGCAAAGTTGATTGGACGGTGCTTCATAGTACAAATGGAAAATGACCCAGAACATACTGCAAAAGCAGCCCAGGAGTTTTTGAAGGTAAAAAAGTGGAATATTCTGCAATGGCCAAGTCAGCCTCCTGATTTCAACCTGACAAAACTAAAGGCAGAAAGACCCATAAACAAACAATAACTGAAGTCAGCTGCAGTGAAGGCCTGGCAAAGCATCACAAAGGAGGAAACCCAGTCTCTGATGTCCATGAGTTCCAGACGTAAGGCAGTCATTGCCTGCAAAAGATTCTCAACAAAATATTAAAAATGAAAATTTTTCTTATGATTATATGTATTTGTCCAATTACATTTGAGCCCCTGAAAATGGGGGGACTGTGTATAAAAATGGTTGTAATTCCTAAGCTTTTAATGTTATATTTTTGTTCCACCCCTTGAATTAAAGCTTGAAGTCTGCACTTCAATTTCATCTTGATTGTTTCATTTTAATTCTATTCTGGTGGCATACAGAGCAAAAATTATGAAAATTGTGTCAGTGTCCAAATATATATAGACCTAAGTGTAAGGTATTCAGACTGTAGAGAGAACATCAACAGAAAAACAAAGAACCCCCAACCGGACCCCATCACCGAACCGAAACTCAACCAGATAGGAGTGTCAAGATACAGACACCATGCCCTGAACACACAGCACACCACATGGACGGGAGAGCAACTCAAAGCTGCATGCTCACACAAAGATAAGACAATACACCACATAAGTGTCAGGATCCTGACTAAGAAACCAAACTAAGAACAAGATCAACCAAAGTGACATGGATGAATAAATTTACCCTAAATAACTGCATTTATGTTGATTTTTATTCTTTGTGACTTAGTAACCTGGTAGTGCCTATTTAATTTGATCTGAAGTAAATCTGACATGCAGGAGGTTCCAGTTGGTAGGTACTGATCCTGTGAGAACAGGTTCTGCTCCCAGCAGAGCTGCAAGACAAATGAACAGAGGGACTGTCAGGGCAGGTCAGGGGAACATGAAAAGCGAGGAGCTGTCACAACAGTAACATCTATGACACTACACGCAGACTGACAGTGAACACTAGAATGAGCAATGCACTATACCATTGGGATGACACTGGATTAACTGTAGTGGTGCCGACACCACTGACTGTCACTAGAGGCGGCCACAACTTCACAAATGTCAATTTTATGCTTTCCAGAGGCTTCCATTGTACTTCCATCTGTTTATGCCCACGGACAAAGAGCAATGCTTATGAATTCTGTTATGAAACAGCAGCAAAAGAGGGAGTAAACAGCAGAATGGCATACTGTAAATCAATCTCTGCTAAACTGTTCTTGATTCTGCGCTACAGAATGCATATTTATGTTAGCCTCTGTTAAATGAGCATATTTTTTTCCCGGCTGTATTAGATTAAGGACCACAAACAAATCAATGGAGCAATAACATGGAGATTCCATAATGACAGCTTTGCTGGTTTCTGCTCAAGTGTAAATAATAAAACATGTAATTGTAAGACAAAAGAAAACGACAAAGAAGAAAAGATACATTACAAAATAAAGTTACAATTAAAATATGTCACAATTGCAAGATATAAAGTCTCAGTTATTAAAAATAAAGTTGCAGTTATGAGAAATAAAGTGCCAGTTGTCAGACATAGACAACTCACATTGCAATATGTAAAGTCACGATTATGATTAATAAATTATTATTAAGTCTCAATTGTAAGATATGAAGATATAAACTATCCGATTTACCTATTTTTATTATTTATTATTATTTTCCCCCAGCTGAGGCATAAATGGATTTACATACAACACTCTAAGCTATTTGTTTCTGGGGAATCAAATTTAAATGTTTCATGTAATATTTTTCCAACTTCTTCCCTATGTGTAAAGCAAACTATCAGATGACAGACTAAACACCACAGCAATGTCTGAGCATTTGTGTTTGATGTGGAAACATGTTAACTCATAACAACTCACTATTATGAATGCAGAAACAATAAATCAAATGTACACTTTAGAAGATTTTAAGTGTTCATAATATATGGTTGCTTCAACTTAACGAGGTCTGACTAAAGTGTTATAGATTATGTGGCCTACGTCAGGAGTGTGAGAGATGAGCCAGAATCAACCACCGAAACAGAGAGAATGATTATCAATAATAACTACACGGTAGGTGGTGAAAAAATGCATAGAGAATATTTTGAACTGTGATTGATGGTGAATTGATTGTTCAAACCTGAGGCGAGGAATTCACAGTCAGCCACCTGGCTAGGAGTGTGATTTACTTTACAGATTCCTCATGTGAAATCAAAAAATGTCATTTTTTCAGGACTGTCTGCATCATTACTGTCCCGATGAGGAGATGATGCATGTAAACAGACCCCCCTCCTTATAACCCACCATACAACACATACACCTCGGCTCATCAGTTTGTGCAGTAAAAGACATGCAAATGTACATAGCAAAGGATGTTTACACATTTCCCTTCGGAAAATTTAAAATATATATATATATATAAAAATGGTGTTGTGAGAGAATGTATTGTTTCCTTTGACCAAAATGGCTTTTTCTCTCTCCTCAGAAATGGACTCAGTGAGGATTATTCTTTACTCACTTGTCTTTCTCCTGAGTGTTTTTGGGAACCTGCTGATCATTGTGGTCCTAATAGCAAACAAGAGAATGCGGACTGTCACCAACTCCTTCCTTCTCTCGCTGGCTGTTAGTGATCTCATGATGGCCATCTTCTGCATGCCCTTTAATCTCATCCCCAGCCTGCTGGAGGACTTCATCTTTGGAGCAGCGATGTGCAAGACAGTCGCCTATTTCATGGGTGAGGAATGTTCAATTAAGCTTTCTCAAGTGGAAGATTCATGTTCGATTTATTTATTTATTTCTGCCAAAGCATTGTTCAATAATGCTAAAGACTAAAGCAAACTTTTATTACAGCTCCAACCCTAATAAACTAAAAAAGCCTGTAATTTTCAATCAATTTAATTTTAAATATTTTTTTTATTTATTACAGAATTGTCTAACAACAACAGGCATATTCCACAAATTAATCATTGTTGTGATTTGAACTTTGACATATAAGCCATCTTTGTACACAATGGCAAAACAAATTCAACTCACTTATGCAAAACGTTTTGTTCAAAAAGGTATTTGGGAAAGTGCTGTAGTGTTTTTGTTGCCATGTGATGTTTTGGGAGAAAATAACATTCAAGGGCTCTTAAGCCCTATATTGTACCTTATCATAGAGAACATTGTGCGAGGGGCAGTGTTGGGAAGGTTACTTTGGAAATGTAATAGGTTACCGATTACAAGTTACCCTATTTAAAATGTATAGTGTAACTATTTCAAATACTTTATTAATGTAACTGATTACATTTGATTACTTTTAAACAAATGTTTCCAACTGTTAATCATTTTCAAACATTGAAACCAGGCAGGGTTAACTTTACAGTAGTACTCAACACTAATTAAAGTCATACTTTCAAAATCCTTCTTCACTTGAATTAAGATTATAATAATTTAATTTTAAAGCATACCCACCACAGTTTGGTCTCATTTTAAAGAAAACCCATGGCCGATTATTGTTGAAGTAAAAAAAGTTTAAAAAGTGAAACCAAAAAAATGTTTATGAAAGTTTATGAAAATGATTTATGAACAATATTTTATGAAACAAGTTGAACTCTAAACCTGCTAGAAAATCAAAGCCATAAATCTAAATAAGTTGTGTTCCAAATTTGAGGTTGATATCTCAAAAAATTAGCTTTCAGTAATATTTTGTTTGGGCGCAGTACCAAATTTTCCCCACTAGATTCCAGCAAAACTCCGCTGGTGCGCACAGTGGTTG